AAATGTGATCAATGCATACATAAGACAAATACTAAAAAAATATGTTCACCCAATGCTGATATTTCTCATAGTGTGAAAAAACAAGTCAATACCTCAAAAAATTACGTTTCACAACGTAAAATGCTGCATAAAACTAAAAACGAAACTGAAAGCTTATGTAATCAACTATTAACCACCAATAAATTCCAAAACAGAGTGAAAAATCGCACACATATAGAAACGTACTCGGACCCTGAAACTTCCTTATCATCCAAAGATTCAAACATAATAAAAAAGCTTACCCGATCTATCGACATTAGTAAATGATGAATCCATTGAGTTAAAACAAAGAAACTCCGAACTACAGCTAGAACTAGACAGTGCGCATATGGAAATAGAAAAGCTTATTCTTGAGAAACAGGAACTACAAAAAGAGGTTGACAAATTAGCAGCAAAAACAAAAAGATTACTTATGATATGTTCATCAAACAGTCCTAAAAAAATAAAACTTCAGAAAAACGACGCATTGCTCCAAACACCTAATAATTTAGATTTAGTAACACAAACACCTAATAAATTAGATTTAGAAACGCAAACATCTAATAAATTGGATTTAGCAACGCCAATGGCGGCAAAAAAAGACACCAGGATAGATGACAAAAATAACCTTTTATTGACTAAAAACAAAAACATAGAACTAGAAAACAAGTTGGAGGAAGATATTCAGCATCTGCGTGAAACAAACTGCAATATTAAAAAAAGAAAAATATTTATATTTGGAACGCAACAATGTGTCGGTTTAGCCTCAGCGTTGCTTCGTTCGAGAGAACATAGTAAATATAAGGAATATGATATAATCGGTTATACAAAACCTGATGTCTTAACTGAAAATGCATTAAAAAGTTGTGTTCTCAATCAAGACCACGGTTTGTCAGACAAAATTATTATTTGTGTTGGTGAAAACGATAAAAATCCTCTAGCTGTTTCATCAGAATTATATATACTTAACATTAAAACAACTAAGAAAACATACTGTAATTATTTTAAATGTTTTAAATAGTAGATATTGAAATACGGGGGATTATAAATTCCAATATTATAAAAGTATGTAGTCAATATAAAAACTGTTATTTTATAAAAGAAAATTTCTATTATAAAAATATATTCAACACTTGTAAAAAAATTAACTATATAATTGATTGTATAGATTATGATCAACAATTTTTAGATTATTCCCAACTAAAAAATATTATTAAACAGCGTTCAACAGTAATTAAATGTTCTGAATTAATTAAAGTACATAAGAAAGGTACAATTCCTTACTATTTCGCAAATATAAAAAACAAAACAAAACATGTTATTTTAAATGAAAAATCTTGGGTTAAATTGGATAGAATAGAGTGTGAGTGACATTAAGGAACCTATAAAGTTCAAAAAAGGAACTATCCCATTTTATTTTCCAATCATAAAAAAATAGTTTATTTCGAAATTAAGGCATTAGACATCTGTAGAAACAGTATTTTAATAAATGATAAAATAAATAAAATAGGAAATTTCCTATATGCGAGTTTTTCACCAAAACATAGCAGGATTACTAGGAAAATTAGACTTACTTGAGGCGTGCATCGCAGAATTTAATTACTCTGAAGAACCAATAGACGTGATTTGTCTAACAGAAACATTCGTAAAAAATGGAGATGAAGAAATCGTAATTTTTTAATTTAACTGGCTGCCAATTTCTCAAGAAAACAATCAAAACGTGGTGGTGTGTGTATTCTTGTAAAACAAAATTTCAAGTATCGTATCTTAGATTTTTTACAACTGTTTTCAAAGGAAATTGAGTTTGAATGTTGCGGTATAGAATTGACTGAACAAAAATGTATTATTACTTGTATTTATAGAACATAAACTCGGAAATAAGTATATTTTTTACTGAACTTGATGCTTTATTACATTAGCTACGTGAAAAAATAAACAAAAATATTATAATTGCTGGCGATTTTAACGTAAATATGTTAATGTTGAATAATAAGTCTAATAGATTAAGAAGTTTATTAAAAAGCTATGGGTTTCAAATGCATATAACGGAAACAACGAGACAACATACATGTATAGACCAAATGGCAAGTAATATACAAGGAGCTATCGGAAAAGTCCATGAATTAGGTCTATCAGATCACACGGGCAAACATTAAGTTTTTTATTAAAAGATACAACAAAGTCTTCTGGGCATTATTATATATTTAGAAGGCAATACACGGAAAGTAATATTAGCTGTTTCTGCAATCACTTAAAATCATTATCATTCTTGGACGTATATGAGGAGGATAACGTAGAAAAAGCATTTACTAAATTTTATGACACGTTTGTATTAATTTATAAGCTGTGCTTTCCCATAAATAGAGTCAAAGTAAATAATTTTGATCAAAAATTAAAATGGCTTACAACCGGTATAAAATTTTCCTGTAGAACCAAACGTGCACTTCGCTATAAATATTATAAAAATAAAACTCACGAGAACAAAAATAAATATACACTTTATAGCAGATGAATCACAAATACGTACCTAACTCAAAAAATAAAACTAAAGCCACTTGGACCCTAATAAAAGATAATAGTTAGACACATCCAAATCTCATTGATAGACTCACAGTCTATAATCAAAATATACTAAATCCCATTGAACTAGCTACAACATTTAATCAGAATTTCATCTATTCCATTAAAGACAGAATATCACATAATAGTGCGGAAAAATTAAGCGTAACTAATCTAAGAAATCAATCTAGTATTTATTTAAGACCATGTGATATAACGGAAATTAAGAATCATATTTTATCCCTTAAAAACACAAAATCTACTGGCTGTGATGAAATACAAACAAAAGTTTTAAAGAGGTGTCCAGGAAAAATCATAGACGTATTATGTTTTCTCATTAATAAGTCACTTGAAGCGGGAATTTTTCCTAAAGAATTGAAATTATCCGTTGTTATACCATTGCATAAAAAAGGTGACAGAAATAATATTAATAACTATAGACCAATTACATTAATATCAATATTATCTAAATTGTATGAGAAAGTTATGCAAAAAAAAAACTATTAGATTTTTTTAATAAGTTTAACATATTAAAACAAGAGCAACACGATTTTCAAAAAGGTAAATCTACGACACTGTCAACTTTTTCCCATATAAAAATCGTAACCGATTATATAAACAGAAAAATACCAATTTCTGCAGCGTACTTTGATATGAGCAAAGCATTTGATAGTGTTAGTCATGATATTCTCTTTAAAAAAAATTGAAGCTTATGGTATAAGAGGGCCAGCTTACTCCTGGATACATAGCTATCTAAAAGATAGAAAACAATGTGTTGAAATATAACAAAAAGATAAAAAACGGCAAGAAATTTTAAAATTTAAATCTTCGTACTTACCAAATAATTACGGAGTGCCACAAGGGAATGTTTTAGGTCCCTTACTGTTTTTAATTTACATAAATGACCTACCAAATTACATCAAACATAATACAATATTATTTGCTGACGACATTTCTATTTTAATACCGAAAATAAATTTTCATTCTAGTAATAAAGAATATGAAAATGAAATAAATAATACTATAGTAAATGTTGTCAAATGGATAAATTACAATAATCTAAGTATAAATCTATCTAAAACTAAATTTATGCAATTCTACAATGTTAAAAGTAAACCGCAATTACTTGATATTAAGTATAATGGTGAAAAAATTACTGCTACTGAATGTACCACATTTTTAGGTATTAATTTAGACAAACATTGTAATTGGAAAAATCACATAGATAAAGTTTGTTCAAAAATATTTAAATTTAATTTTGCTTTGCCAAGGCTAACTTCAATCTCGTCAAGAAACACTTCCCTTATAGCATATCATGCATTTGTCGCTGCTGTGTTAAGATATGGTCTCATATTATGGGGAAACTCGACTGATGTAAATCGTGCTTTTATAGCACGAAAACGATGTATACGAGCAATTTGTGGTGTCGGGCCACTAGTTTCTTGCAAACCACTATTTAAAGAATTGGGTGTTCTTACGCTACCATCCATGTACATTTTTGAACTTTCAATATTCGTAAAAAAAGTATCCTCATTTTTTTACTAGGTTAAAAGATACAGTAACATATAGTACCAGATACCCAGATAAAATTATTTTACCTTCATTAAAAACAAGCCTGTACTCACAAAATTGCTATGTGATGGCTATTCAAGTATTTAATAAAACCCCAAATGAAATAAGGCAACTAGATTATAATCGATTTAGACGTAATTTATTAAAGTGGCTTCTAGAAAACCATTTTATTCGGTAAATGAACTGCTAAAAATAAAAGAACGTTTCTATTGACTGTTAAACGCTGTTACTTATTTGATTGTGTTTTAAAGGATTAATATTAAATATTGTAAAGTGATTACGCATGTTTAATTGTACTTAAATTTTGTATATTCTAACAATAAGTTGATTAGTAAATAAGTTTTCATATACCAAAATTGGTGAAATATGTGATACATTATTATTTTATAAGAACATCCTTGTACCATATTTCTTGTGAATAAATTTATTTATTTATTATAAAGCTAGAAGTATGTTCTATAGAAAGAAACAAATACGTATTTGCACACAATAATGAACAATTTTGACAACATTTACCACATGCCATGATGAGGGTTATTTATCACGCATTAAAGCGCGCTGGCCGTATGACGAAGTCAAAAGATCGCTCAGCAAACCAAGAGCAAGGAGCTTCTCTGCATGATACGACTTCATAATGAGGATATCCGCAGTAGAACAAGAGTGGCAGACATAGCCCAACGGATCAGTAAGCTGAAGTAGCAACAGGCCAGCCATATATCTCACAGAACTGATCCCAGAGTCCATGGCATAATTGCAAGGCTCTCTGCCATATTCAACAGGTAGTAATACATTTTCAGTAAAAAGGCTTAAAGACTTGGTAACATTTTTATATAAAATTAACCAACACTTACCTTCTCAACAGTGACCCTTAAACAGTCAAGGTAGAACTCTCGACTTAAAAATGGTGACGGTGTATTCGAAAGTGGTTCAGGGTTCATTTCCTTCTTCATACTTATTGAAATTATGCTTCCACGATCTTCACTGCCGGATCCTGTTTAAAAGAAGATGAACATGTTATTAAAAAAATGAAGTATTTACAGATGTTGAAGTGAAGAAAGATTCCCATACCAGTGAATCTAGTAACCGGTTTAGAGAGAGGCCCAAAACATGTTTTAAGACTTCTCTCCGGAAGGTGGTATAACTATATCGAATTTTACCCCAAATATACAACATGTAACAAAAACCCTGTGGTTCCCGTTAAGTGCGTTATCAGAATCAGTATCCAAGCGTATAGAAATATTTTTTTTTTCAAAAAAAAAAATTAAAAAATTTAATGAAAAAAATAATAATTTGCAAATTGTATGTGGTTTTATTATTACTGCATTGGCCGAGGAGTAAGACGATAGTCAAAGACCCCGCATTACCGATACTCGCGTGAGTTAGAGGAAATAAAACTACATACAATTTGCAAATTAATATTTTTTTAATGTTTTTTGAAAAAAAAAATATTGCTATACGCTTGAATACTGATTCTGATAACGCAGTTAACGGCAATCACAGTGTTTTTGTTACATGTTGTATATACGACCGATAACGGCGAGATCCCGTGTAGTGGTGTAAGAAAATACACAACCACATATCTTCCCGTGGATGTCGTAAAACTTAAACAGAAGAACAAAGACAGAGTTAAACAAACCAGGAGATGGGCAGCAGCGTATTCCTGATAACAACTCAAAATTATAAAAAAAACTGCGGCTGACAACCCCTTTGCTAAGCGTGGCAACTATGGCAAAATCCCCCTATGAGGCAATCTATGGGGGAGGCCCATGTTCAGCAGTGGACTTTTATAGGTTGCAATGGATGGAATGGAAACGTAATATAACGGCGAGAAACATCCAAAGTGCGAGGGGACTGGAATTTCGATTGTTAATCCATTACCGAAGACAAAGAGGTTCCCGTCCAACAGTGGACTGGTTATTGGACTGATGATAGTTAGAAGGAGCAGAATAAAGTTAAATATATCGTAAGCAGAACATAGCGGTACAATGTTTTATACAAGGGCAACTAATGAATACAGAATCCATTCGACACATACACAATTACATCTAAAATATGTATGTACTACAAATGCAAAAGGTTTTGCGAAACACCCGAAATTTGTACTTTAGTTCGTTGCATGGACTTATGAACTCGTTGCTCGTACTTATGAACTCTTTGCCTAACATTATTTTTACTCCAATTGCTGTAAAAGCAAAATAATTGCAGCACCGCCTAAATTTCACATACGCAAGACAAAGTGGCAGATTTTAATCCCCGGTCTTCTGAACAATTTGCCGAAGGGTATGTCTATCGTGCTAAAGCACTAAAACCGGCTTGTTCGGGAGGCTGGAAGTCGTCGAGTCTGCGTGCGAGACGATTCGTAATGACTCTCGAAAACAGCACGTAAATGCGGCTCAGAAGGGAAATCGGTCTTAGTTCTTCAACAGAGCGTTGTCGCCTTTTTTGAAGACCAGGACCACCGCATTTTTGCGCTACGCTCCGGAGTAGTTCAACCATGGAGGACGGAATTAGAGAGCTTCTAAAAGACTTCAAGTACCAGTTTCCACTCCACCTAGTGGGGGGCCACCCAACACCTGGTGACACATGCAGGAAGTCGATAGATAGAGGTGGCTTAGGACCGTGCTGTGGCATTCTTTGGGGAAGGGCTATGTTCAGCAGTGGACTTGTGAAGGACAGCCCTTCACAATGATGATGATAAGTTATATAGTTTTTATTTTTCACTAGGTTTTTGCTCCTATACTACTTGACACACAGGTCACTTTCGCTAAATATTGCGTAATTTTTTGTATGTTTACAGATTTATAGAGCGCGCAGTTGCCTAACTAGTGCATTAATTGTGGTTTGATAGCTCCGTCCACTTCAGTATCGTTTGTGTGATGTGATTTTTTGAGCATAATAAGTCTTCTATAGGTTTTAGTTTTTGGTAGCAAACAACATATTTTTGGGAATGGAGAGGTCCATTTTTAAAGGACGACTTTTTTAAAAAACGAAATTAAAGAAATTTATTGATTTACTACGTGATTCAATTTCTCTGTAAATTGATTCACTACGTGATTCAATGTCTCTCGTTTAAAGAGTATGAATGTGAGCGTGTGTACACGTGGTGTAATGAGCGTGTGCGTGCGCCGTACCCTCGTCGTCGGAGGGCGGGTGGTGCGCGTCGAGGTCGGGCATGTTGGCGGGCAGGCGCTCGTCGTCCTCCTCCTCGGACGAGATGCCCAGCGCCAGGAACGGTGGCGCCAGCCCACCGCCACCGCTCGCGCCCTTCAGCAGCATTGCGATCCTGCACATTAACCAATCGCCACTTATTGTAACAATTAGGACATCCACAACGGGCGGCGCCACTTTGGAGTGAGGTGAAATATATGTCAAATTTTATGGAGTAAAAGTTGAATTGTTAAGGAAATATAAACTTTAATGTTTCTCTCGTAAATATTAATTATATTTTATATTAATTAGATAAAAATGGAAAACCAAACTACAGATATTCCGTAAAGTAAAAGAATTAAAAAGAGCGTTAAAAATATGCAAAAATTAAAAGGAAACCACTGAGGCATCGTATTGTATATTTAAGTATATACACTAGAAACCAAAAAACCTTTTATTTGATATGCAACTATGAACTTATAATGACACTGTGTAACAAATACTCAGTCCCAACTACCGACATCTGGTGTGCGATAAATTATTAGCCTTCATCGATGAGAGAATTCGTTACCGACTGAGATACTAACTACAGCAGTGCGCTGATGGCGTATGAGAATTAGTCATCTCATTAAGCGACAGTAGCCTAATTGCAGGGCGCGGACCGCGAACTCAAAAAGGTCGTGGGTTCGAATCCGCTATTCGACTACTGGCGTATACCACTCGTAACACAAGCAAGTTAAGCTTACCACGAGTGGTTAAGGGGAATATTAGTAATGTTTACAGCATTGTTAATATTCTTTTTAAAAAAAATTGTTCTGTGGGTTTCGTGAAAGGCGACTATGGTAAATGCCAGTGAAACCTTATGAATTCCGATTAAAGACCGACTACAGTCAAACAGTAAAGCACAAGTGGTAACTACTATTAAATAGCTAACTATTACCTATCAGGAAATAAGGTTTAGTTTTTAATGGCCCATCTATTTCTGCCTTCTTCGTTTGATAAGAAGTTGTTGTCAGTTACCATCAGGTGGTTTGCTACATTTTGATCTTATCAAAAAGGCTAAAAATTGTTTGCCCCAGTAATGTCAAAAAAGTATATGTGTGACCTGGTGTCAAGGTCGACGTTCTTGGGCTCTTCTGCGGGCGGCGGCGGCTTTGGGTCGGGCGAGTACTCCGGCCCCACGCCCGGCGGCGGCGGCTCTAAGTTCTCCGTATCCGCACACGTGCTCTCAGCGCGCACCTCCTACATTACAAAACACATCGTTCTACCCTCTTTACACTCATTTACGTGCACATGCAAGATACATTACATACTGTTTTCCTTTTGCAAAGATTTTTCTGACTAAGTATTCACGATAAGCTCTATGTGACGCCGAAACCATGCTCAACTTTTTGACACAAACTTATGCACACATACGCGTTTAAAACCATGTTGTTGCTTGAAAATGATTTTAGATGCTTAATATGCGTACGTTTTAAAATGGACGCACATTTATCAGCACCATATGCGCTGTACGGGGCGCGTTTACTGATGACATCGCATATTGGCACGTACGCGCCGTACCCAAATCTTTAGTATTGCCAACAGCTTTTGCAGTTTTTTCTAACCACTGGTGAGAAACAGTACAGTGACATTGATCGCTCAGAATCACTCGGATCCTTAATGAAAAAAATTGTAATAGTCTGCTTATTGGCAGAGGAAGAAGAAAATTAAATTCAAAGAAAAAGAAGATTCTGGAGTCACAATATTAATTTTAAAAGGCAGTTATATGGAGAATATTTGACGTTATACAAAGACTTATTAGATGATGATGAACATCTTTTTAGATATTTGCATATGATGGATGGATCGCGTTACGCATGTCTTGTCTCACGACTTATTATCGTCCACACAGTAAAAGTAAATACTCCTGAAATGGAGTAAAAATATATTTCGAAACGTATAGGTGTGTTAATGGTGAATTGATCATCTTGCCACTAAGAGAAACTTAATTCTACTGAACCACAAGGAAAAACACTGTAAACAATATTTCTCTACTAGAAGGGTAGTCAAAACCACCAGCTTTAGTAGAAAATCCACTAAGTTGGCAACATTAGGCAACACTGAGTATCAGAAAGCCCCGCATTATATGACGTCATCAGCATGCCTCCTTCAATATTCCTATATTGGATACCTGCCGCATTTAATATAATAAGGGCGCGTATGGTGCGGATGAAATGTGCGAGGTTTCAAACGATTTCATACAATTATTTGTAAAATGCGGTGCATGCTGCGCGTACATATAAGTAGAACTAAAAATTAACAACAGAAGCAGAGCCTGGCGGGATCATTTGCGAGCACGGTTTAAAGGTAGTACTTATATTACACTAATACATAACGAGATCGTACTTCAGAGCAATCTTTGGCTACTGCTCAAAGTTAGAAAGTATTCAACAATGGGAGATAAAATGCTTAAGTTGTTTTATTGGGACGTCGATAAGTTCGACATTAAACATACATTTGACGAAAATTACTCGTGTTAATAACCTGATCTTGTATCGCCCGGACAACACTCAGTTTCCCAATGACATCATCCAGAAAGAACCATACACATCATACAATCTATATACCAATTAGTGCGACTATTACAATAGATTTTGTTTCATCATCATTACAACCACTGCTGAACATAGGCCTCCCCCAAGTAATGGCACAAAGCACGTTACTGAGCCACCTGCATCCATTGACTTCCTGCATGTCTTACCAGGTCGTCACTCCATTTAGGGGGGGGGGTCGCCATATACTACGCCTACCGGTACGAGGCTGCCACTCGAGAACCTTTCTTCCCCATCGGTTATCGATTCTTCGAGCTATATGGCCGGCCCATTGCCACTTCAGCTTACTAATCGGTTGGGCTATGTCGGTCACTCTGGTTTTACTGCGGATATCCTCATTTCTGAGTCTATCACTCAGAGAAACTCCGAGCATAGGCCTCTCCATAGCTCGCTGAGCGACCTTGAGCGTCCTCATACGGCCAGCAGTGAAGAACCACGTCTCAGATCCGTAAGTCATCACTGGCAAGTCAGCACTGGTTGTATAATCTAGTTTTCAGAGTTTGAGGTATACTTGACGAGATGTGTCGTAATTTCCCGTACGCTATCCAGCCGAGTTGAATCCGTCGATTGACCTCTCGGTCGAAGTTGGACTTACCTAGTCGGACTATTTGTCCCAGGTAAACGTACTCGTCAACAACTTCGAGCATAGTGCTCCCAACAACTACAGGCATAGGTGTGACATGGACATTAAAGATGATCTTTGTTTTGTCCATGTTCATCTTAAGACCTATCCGTAAGACACCATGGAGGTCATTGAGCACAGTGCTTAGGTCCTCCAGCGATTCTGCCGTAAGGACTATATTGTCGGCAAATCGAAGGTGAGTGATGTACTCGCCATTGATGTTAATACCGTATCCTTTCCAGTCCAATAGCTTGAAAACCTCTTCCAATGCAGCGGTGAAGAGTTTCGGGGATATAACGTCACCATGTCTTACACCTCTCTGCAGTTGGATAGGTATCGAACTCTGGTTCTGTACTCGGATAGCCATCGTAGCCCTACTGTACAAACACTTCAGCACTTCGATATACCGACAGTCAACTTGGCACCGCTGAAGGGACTGTAGCACCGCCCAAATTTCGACGGAATCAAAGGCTTTCTCATTGTCAACATACGCCAGGAAAAGTGACAGATTGTACTCTTTGGTCTTCTGTACAATCTGCCGCAGGGTATGTAAGTGGTCTATGGTACTGAAGCCTTTTCAGAAACCAGCTTGTTCGGGAGGCTGGAAGTCGTCGAGTCTGCGTGCGAGACGATTCGTAATGACTCTCAGATTATGTTTACTTTAGTTACATTTTTTTATATAGAATTGGGTGACAAACGAGCACACGGTCCACCTGATTGGTAAGTGGCCCATAGATATCCACATATATCCTCAATTAAGAATAAAAATGGAAATGAGTTGTCACCCCTAAGGATTTAAATGGAATGCCTCGACTCCAGTAAAAAAGGTCTTCGGTTCTCTACACACTCACCATACGAAACACAGCGGCATTACGCATCTATTTTACGCTAGTATTCTTTGAGAGCGTGGTCCTGCCCGGGTCGAGCCGACCCATTCGTGCTACAACTATAATATAGCTGCAACGTGTCTCTACCACGTAAATATGATAGCTAGCGTTAATTAGTAAATATGCGTTCCACATTGATTGTCATGCTGGGCAGTTATCGTCATGGTTAAGAAATTACTACATCATATACATTTAGTAAAGATGGTACCTCAAGGACTAAACTTATACAGAATACCTCGTTACCAGTAAAATGCGTCGCCTTCTCAACACACAATACGAAACATAGCAGCATTATGTTGTTATTTTCACGTTGATATAGTGTGATATTATACTAAAGATTTTTTTGTATATAATTAAACATAACATGCAGTTAATGACAGTAAAGCAAGCAGTGTGTTACATATGACAAATTAATGGTTGTTGAAAAGTAGGATATATATTTTAGTTAAATTTTATTATAAAGTTTGAAAATGTTATTGAAGTGAAAACTTCTTTACCATCGTTTTGATTTGAAAGTCTATGAAACGAAAAATCGACAGTAAAAAGAGACAGACATAAATTCATATCATTTAATGTGGGAGAAAATGAGATAGGAAGCATTATAGATTATAGCTCAATGCTCGCGAGAAAAAAGTCGTAAACGCCGCCGAAATAGCGTCGCTTACGCGTTTTGTTCAACAAGGTACGAAGGTGTCGTGTGCCTATGGATTAAACAAGCAGTGAAGAACGGCCAAACCTCAACTTCGTAATAGGTAAAATTGATATAAATCTTTTTGTAATTAGTGAGTATTATATAAGGTATATCGAAAATAGTAATATCTCTGTCCAAATATATGTATTAAAAGGATTGTTACATTTATTTACTATAAAATTAAATCTTATTATATTTTATGCTGAACTTGTAGTTTAAATAATAATATTAAATAAATCATTTAAAGTATTTGTATTTTATATTTAATTTCATTTGAAGGTTTGACTTCTGTCGCGTGTGAGCTGCACGCATGTTTTTATAGTTAATCAATATCTTAATATTCTGACCTTACAACAATGTATTATAATGCACTGATACCAATAATGTAGTAACAACACCAATTTAAATGTTTCACAAGCTATATCAAAAGTAAAAAATCATTAAACAAATAATTTACAATTATTAAATAATTTGTGTGTTATCAATGCAACTTCAAAGTAAAGGAAATCATTAATTCTTATTTACAAAAAAGTTGAATTTGATTATTATTAACCAAATTTATTATAAATCATTACAATATTTATTCGTTTCCTTTTTTTCTTTAATGATTACTATTTTGTCTGTAGTTTCGTCCTCTTTTAAGTTCAAAATGTGTGGTAAAGCATTATTTTAACATATTTTACTGCGCATGCATCACATTCCTAAGGATCTATCGGTGGGCAAAAACGATGTTGCCCATAACATTCAATTTGGGCCTTATTTACTTGTATTTTCAAAAACTGCAATAACAGTATATCACTATTTATCTATTTGGACTTAAGTTTAAAATTTGGCTACTCTTTAAAAAATAACCTTGTATAGTCATGTTTTCTTGAAAAGGTCATAATGTCGCCATAAAATAATAATAATTACATTTCGGGTTAATATATTTAAATGAAAAAGAAGTAGAAAGATTATCCGAAGAATTTTAAGAACTAGCGAGAGCACGTAAATAGTTAACGCAACGTTGTATAATAGGTGTGTTCGAATGAATGGCGACCTTGTCTTTGGTCGTACGGTCGCGTAGGTCGGGCGGGTCGGGCGAGCGCTCGCGGCAGTGCGGCGCGGCGGATGTGCCCCCCCGCGGCGGAAGTGCCCACCGCGGCGGACGTGCCCCCCGCCCACGCCGGCCCCGCCTGCCCCGCGCGCCGCTCCGCCTTTAGTCACACACCACACCACACCGTTGTTTCCACACACAAAGCTAGCGATGCACACGTGGCTAAAAACTGTGGCTATGCGAGTGTGCCCAGTGGAATACAACCACTGTCACTTAGGCTCAGGTTAATTAAAAAAAGTAAAAGTAAAGTTACAGCCTATATACGTCCTACTGCTGGGCACAGGCCTCCCCTCATTTCTGAGACGGTTTTACGGCAAGGAAGTGTCCGCCGCGCTGCCCCAATGCGTGTTGGCGAACTTTACACGTCTTCGAAATATTTTTTTCTTATTCCTCAGACATGCAGGTTTCTTCACGATGTTTTCCTTCACCGCCGAGCACGTGGTAAATCAGGACTTAAAATTGCAATTAACAATTTCATTGGTGCCGGCTGGGATCGAACCCGGGTTACTCGCGTTCTGTTATATTTACAGCGAGCGTTAACCATCTGAGCTACAACGGCACGGCTTAATTAAAAAATTCTAAATTTTTAAAAAGGCGGCATTCTCAAGATATATTTCCAGAATTAAAATTTTATTTTAATCTTTAACTGAAGTTTGTAGTTATTACACTATTCGTAAACTTAGCTAATGAATGTTAAATATTTGTTAAATATCTCACATCATCCACAGTTTTTACCACACAGGTGTAAATAATTTCAAGTGATTTAAAAATGACCATAAGTAAAGGATGAAACAAATAATCCACTAATAAAAAAGTTCATAAACAAAACAATTATCGAATTAAGCAACACAAGAACACACTTGTTTTTAAAGACAATAGAGTTTTCTTAGAAAACATTGTTTTTGTAAAAAAAAACTACACAAAAAAACTTCACAAGGAACACTTAAGGTAAACGCCCACTTAAGCACCGCTGTGCAAGAACGGCATCACTTATGCTGACGGTCACACACGAACCGCATCCATGTATTTCGTATGGTAATATGTTCTTGAATGTATATGTGCTATGGTACTTATTTATAGAAAAAATTGTCCAACAAACGTACAAGTCCAAACAGTAAGTAGATGCTGTGGACTATTGACATCTCTACATGTATTCTCGATTAAGAAGCAATAACAGATAGATTAGCGTTATCAACCCCGAGAACTAATATCGAAATGTCTTGTTTTATTTTTTTTTAAAGAAAGAGCAAATGAGCATTCGGCTCACCTAATGGTAAATGTTCACAATCACCTTTTAAAAAAAGAGTAATCTTTTTCTTGAAAGTCCCTAAGTCGTATCGATACGGAAAACCGCTGGTGGTAATTTATTTCACAAGGAAGTTGTGCGAGAAAGAAAACTTCTTGTAAATCGCACAGTGGTGGACTGCTAATTATCCAGATAATATGATATGGTATGGGTTAATCATTTCCAGTAAAAAGCTCTCTGGTTATCTATATTCACCATGCGAAATAGAGCAGCATTAAGCTATTTTTACGAAGGTAACCTGTGAAAACGTAGTCCTTCCCGAGTCGAGCTGACCCATTTGTGCTACATCCATAACATTGCTACAGCGTGGCTCTAACATCTACATGATCGTCTATTGTTATTACAAGATATTATCGGCGGATGATAAAGTTAATATGACAAAAAGAAATTGTGCTTTCGTAACATTTATATAAGAAGATAAGGGTTGTAGAGTATTTTAAATAATTTACTGTTTTACTTTTTATTTAAATGATAAAAGATTTTTTTATATAAAACCTCTTATGTTTAGGGTGCTATTGGATATACTGTAAAAGCATATAATTAGACAAAATACTAGATAAAGAATGGCAATGGACGAGAAGAAATGCTTACAAATTTTAGCAATGTGGGCAATATGCGGCGAACGTCATCAGAAATATCCCGCACCTCAAGAACAAAAATAATCCGCCTACATACAACGTTTAACTAAAGCTGCCTCCTTATCCTTTTACTATCCTTTCTCAGATTGCTTTAGGTAAAGAAATCCGCCTACATACAACGTTTAACTAAAAGCTGCCTCCTTAACCTTTTAAACTATCCCCTCTCAGTTGCCTTAGGTAAAGATAATCCGCCTACATACAACGTTTAACTAAAGCTGCCTCCTTAAACTTTTACTATCCTTTCTCAGATTTATTTAGGTAAAGAAATCCGCCTACATACAACGTTTAACTAAAGCTGCCTCCTTAAACTTTTACTATCCCTTCTCAGTTGCCTTAGGTAAAGAAATCCGCCTACATAGAACGTTTAACTAAAGCTGCCTCCTTAACCTTTTACTATCCCCTCTCAGTTGCCTTAGGTAAAGAAATCCGCCGACATACAACGTTTAACTAAAGCTGCCTCCTTAACCTTTTACTATCCCCTCTCAGTTGCCTTAGGTAAAGAAATCCGCCTACATACAACGTTTAACTAAAGCTGCCTCCTTAACCTTTTACTATCCTTTTTCAGATTGCTTTAGATAAAGAAATCCGCCTACATATAGCGTTTAACTGAAGCTGACTTCTTAACCTTTTACTATCCTTTGTCAGATTGCTTTAGATAAAGAAATCCGCCTACACACAGCGTTTAACTGAAGCTGACTTCTTAACCGTTTACTATCCTTTCTCAGATTGCTTTAGTTAAAGAAATCCGCCTACACACAGGGTTTAACTGATGCTGACTTTTTAACCGTTTACTATCCTTTGTCAGATTGCTTTAGTTAAAGAAATCCGCCTACATACAGGGTTTAACTGATGCTGTCTTCTTAACCGTTTACTATCCTTTATCAGATTGCTTTAGATAAAGAAATCCGCCTACATACAGCGTTTAACTGAAGCTGTTTTCTTAACCGTTTACTATCCTTTATCAAATTGCTTTAGATAAAGAAATCCGCCTACACACAGGGTTTAACTGAAGCTGACTTCTTAACCGTTTACTATCCTTTGTCAGATTGCTTTAGATAAAGAAATCCGCCTACACACAGGGTTTAACTGATGCTGACTTCTTAACCGTTTACTATCCATTGTCAGATTGTTTTAGATAAAGAAATCCGCCTACATACAGCGTTTAACTGAAGCTGTTTTCTTAACCGTTTACTATCCTTTATCAAATTGCTTTAGATAAAGAAATCCGCCTACACACAGGGTTTAACTGATGCTGACTTCTTAACCGTTTACTATCCTTTGTCAAATTGCTTTAGATAAAGAAATCCGCCTACACACAGGGTTTAACTGATGCTGACTTCTTAACCGTTTACTATCCTTTGTCAGATTGCTTTTAGATAAAGAAATCCGCCTACATACAGGGTTTAACTGAAGCTGTTTACTTCTTAACCGTTTACTATCCTTTGTCAGATTGTTTTAGATAAAGAAATCCGCCTACATACAGCGTTTAACTGAAGCTGTTTTCTTAACCGTTTACTATCCTTTATCAAATTGCTTTAGATAAAGAAATCCGCCTACACACAGGGTTTAACTGAAGCTGACTTCTTAACCGTTTACTATCCTTTGTCAGATTGCTTTAGATAAAGAAATCCGCCTACACACAGGGTTTAACTGATGCTGACTTCTTAACCGTTTACTATCCATTGTCAGATTGTTTTAGATAAAGAAATCCGCCTACAACAGGGTTTAATGATGCTGACTTCTTAACCGTTTACTATCCATTGTCAGTTGTTAGATAAGAAATCCGCCTACATACAGCGTTTAACTGAAGCTGTTTTCTTAACCGTTTACTATCCTTTATCAAATTGCTTTAGATAAAGAAATCCGCCTACACACAGGGTTTAACTGAAGCTGACTTCTTAACCGTTTACTATCCTTTGTCAGATTGCTTTAGATAAAGAAATCCGCCTACATACAGCGTTTAACTGAAGCAGACTTCTTAACCGTTTACTAACCTTTGCCAGATTGCTTTAGATAAAGAAATCCGCCTACATACAGCGTTTAAATAAAGCTGCCTCCTTAACCTTTTACTTCATTTTGTCAGGTTGCTTTAGAGTGGTAATTTCCGATGATGTGTAGATAATTGTAATTGTGTTCTGCGAAATTTCGTACTTTAATCAGGTGCGGATCGTGGCAGCGCGAATACGTGTGCGCGTGGCATTTAATTTCATACAAACTATTACAAAGTACGATGGATGCGGCGCAAGCGGCTGCTGCAGTGTGCACGTTCATCTTAATAATGAGATAATGGGTGCGTTTGGCAGAAAAAAGCGCTAGCAAGCGCTTGTAAACAAAATGGCGATCGTAAACGGTAAGCGCTGTCAAATCGTAAGTAGCTATTTTCCTCCAGGACACGATGTTAGTTTTAACCGGGGGACCTAACCTAATTTAAATATATTTTTGTAAAGTATACATATTAAAAACTTACCAATCATGAATTTTTAATAACATGATATATATATTTATTCGTGTCATTATATTACTTAAAACTAATATTGCACAAAATAACTTATAAACTCTACTTCAAAACAAACAAATTAAATAAGCAAAATGGCGGATTGTGTCAGCGCTACTGAAGTAGCAATCGTGTCCTGGCCGAAAACTATTTCAGCGCTTATAAGCGCTTGCTAGCGCTTTTTTCTGCCAAACGCACCCAATAACAAACAAAATAGTTATTTCAACTAAAAACAGGTGTAAATTTTTTCTTGTTATTAGTTAATGGATGGTATGGACGACAATAATATGATATGTTTCGCTAGGTATTAAAAATTGAAGTAGTAAAAATGACTGGGTATTTTGGATTCGATTCGAGGATATGTGTAATATCCGCCATTATTTACTGAATCTAAGTGGCAGAATTTGTTACGCTATGAACTCACATATCATGAAGGTAGGAACTATGCAAAACAGTTTTGTTTCTAAGCTCTTATTACACTTTTTGTAATATTTTAGGCATTATTTATTTAAAGCTATTATGTAATAAAGTGCTTTTGAAAATAATCGGTACAGTAAAATAAAATAGCGTAACATAGCCCTGAAATGAAGATTTAATCTGCACAGAATGTTAATCATTTAATTAAACAAAGATTTTGTCATTTACCTGAGAAGTAACTACTAGCTCTAACTAGTTTTATCTTTATATAGTTCTCTTATTTTTATTATAAACTTTTATTTATAACGTAATCAACACTCAGTATCTATTTATATATTTATATTTTATGACTTACGTGTGGATGATGATGTGTTGCGTGGTGGGGATGTCTCCAGTCCCACCACATACCGCTCGCGCTTGGGGCTGGACTCGCTCCATATCCATACCCATAACTGACGATAAATTAAACACACTTCAATAAAAGTGAAAAAGTATTAAACTACCTAGATAAAATAAATACCATAAATTAATATTTTAAAATTAATAGTTTCTGAAGTAGCACAACAATCAATACAGTGCTTAATAATGTAAATGTTAGATTGCATGGAATGTGATAATTCTGCCGGAAAGCATTTTAATTTTGAAAGTTTCCCCAGCCCCATTGGAAAGCCGATTATTTTATGATTATCTTAATATATATAAATTACGTGTCGCGTTGTTTGTCCACGATGGACTCCTAAACTACTTAACCGATTTTAATCAAATTTACACACCGTGTGCAGTTTGGCCCAACTCGAGAGAGAGAATAGTGTTTTGGCACATGAGTGACCCACAATTTTTATTTGCGAATTTAAGGATTTTAATAGGATATAACAAAGGGTCGTCGAAAAGGGCAGAACAACGTCTACCTGGCGAGCTAGTAGCTTATAAAATTTCATCTGTTGAACATAGGTCTCCCTCATAGATTTCGCCTTAATTGACACGATTGGCAGGCGAGTTTTCAACCACAGTTTTTTTAAATTTTGAGATGTTATCAGGAAGATGCTCCTGCTCATCTCCTGTTTCAGTTTCTCTCCATGGTCTCTCATGACACCTATGGCACAATATGAAGTAGTGGGTATCCTTACACCACCTACACAGGTAAGTTAAGCTAAAATCAACCGAATTTATTTTGGTTTTCAATCCAAACGTATTCTAGAGACTATTCAAATATTTTTGTGTCTCTCCTGGAAGGACACTTTTGATAAACTGAATTGGTAACTTTTATAAATTGACATTAATAATGGAGTATACACTATATTGTGAACAATAAAACATATAGCATACCTTTGTTGGTAATAAGGGTCATAGGGCAAAGGACCAGTGGGCGTAAAAGGTACTTCCGTTGTATGAGCGGGCGGGAGGCTAGATGTTTGGGGGGCGGCATGGCTAGCGGCATGGCTGGCAGTGTGGCTGGCAGTGGCTCCATGGCTGGGGGTATGGCTGGCAGCATGGCTGGGGGTGTGGCTGGCAGCATGGCTGGGAGTGTGGCTGGCAGCATGGCTGGGGGTGTGGCTGGCAGCGATGGTGATGGCGTGGCTGGCCACGTGGCTAGCGGCGAGGCTGGGCGTGTGGCTGGACGCGTGGCTGGAGGCGTGGCTGGAGGCGTGGCTAGAGGCGTGGCTAGACGCATGGCTCGGAGCCACATAAGCTGGTTCACTTGTATCGCTTGTTCCCCGCGCGTAACGTTCTCTGTACCTAAACATTTACAAAATTAATAAAGTCATGCAGACTTAGCTTATTTACACAGCAATATTTAATAATATTTGTTTATAATAATATTTGTTTGATCTTTTACTTGTTTGCTCTTTATGTCTAAAACGAGTTATTAATTCTGTTAAAATATGCTTAATTTAATTTTAATACAATTTTTTTTTATAAATAAAATATTAAATTTTAAATCTCTGATTCGCTTATTGATGATATTTATGAAGCTTCTAATTCTTCACCATTTCATTACCTTTGTTTTCTTCTACATTTCCTTTTGCAACGTCGGCTTGCGGGATTAGATAAAATATTAATTACATGTGAATGCCCATATATAAAAATACATATGCATATATAAAATACATATAATACCATAAATGGTTTCAATTTATGGAATAACAAAAACTAGCACACAGTCATATGCTGTGACCCACAACAAATACCTACATATATCCTCGATTAAGAATCAAATTGCAGATGCATTATCACCCCTAAGGACTAAAATGGAATGCTACATTACCATTAAAAATGGTCTACGAAACACAGCGGCATTAAGCTTCTATTTTACGCCGGCATTCTGTGTGAGCGTGATCCTTCCCTAGTCGAGCAGAAAGCCGAACCATTCGTGCTACAACCATAATATAGCTTAAGATAGAATATAGGTTAAGCTACAATAAAGGTGACAAGCTATAAGAACACAGCCCACCTAATGGTGAGTGGATACGCTCATAGACATCTATCCAGTAATGCCTCGAGACATCTATCCAGTAATGCTAAAAAGGGTACCTGGACTCTACAATCACCATACAAAATACAGCGGCATTGCGCTGCTATTTGACACTGGTATTCTGAGAGCGCGGTCCTCAGTCGAGCCAAATCATTTGCGCTACAACTATAACTACAGTAAGGCTCTACCATGAATAAGCTAAGCTGCAGCATGACTCATTTCTTGTCTATTCCAAGTCACTGCTCGGCTACTATCCCATCTTAACTAAAGCCTAAATTACTCTGCCTTGAAGATAAATACATTGTTATCGGATAGAAAGACAGATTCTGGCAACTTATTCAACTTCTTTGCTGTATACATGAAAAACAATAAAGCAAAACTCTACCACATTAAAATAATTACTTAATACAACTAATTTGTTTGGAAATAATGAGTCCCTTACTAGGTTTTATCTTTATTTATAAATAATAGAAAAAAATATAACTTAGACCCAAATTTCCTATTCCCATGTGAAATATCATGATTATTGAACTTTTTGAAGTGGATTCTCACGAAATTTTACATATTTGTTATATAATATTTGCCATGAGTATTAGTCTACACACAGAAGGAAACTGAAGCATTTTGAAACTAACCATTTCTAAAATGCATTAATATCTTTCTACAGTGTTTAACAATCTGCCACATACATACTGTTTTTAACCCTTTGCAATACTTAAAGAACTTAGATTTTACTTAGTATCAACACCATTCTTACCGTTCTCGATCTCTATCTCGGTCCCTATCACTATCTCTGTCCCTCTCACTTCGACTGCGATGGCGATGCCTATACTCTCGCTCCTCATCTGACCAACGAGTATTACTGTCATTATGATCCTCCTTGTAGCGCGAATATCCCTCCTGGAAATTTATATCCAAATTACATTAACAGTTGTAATATTTTATACCTGTAGTATAGACTTCATTGTGTTACTGTGTTGTGGTGACCAGCGACAGAGAGGTGAGATGTCTGGTACTGCAATCATCTAATCTAGCTATGCTCAACCTGCAGCCCGCCGGGCCTTTGTGATTGGCCCATCTGAAGTTCCAAATTTATTGTAAACCATTTTAAATTTCGCGCCCATCAGAGAACGGGTGATTGGGAACGGGACTGTGAGCCGAGCGCTATCAGCGATTTTGGCGTGAATCAGATCGCATCCTATTATTAGTCATCTGTGGTTGCAAGAGGAGGTGAATGAAAACTTAGTGAGGAAACCTACCTGTCTGTGAAATAAAAAAAATATTTCGAAGACATGTGAAGCCTGCTAACACGCACTGGCGCATCGCGGCAGACATTTCTTTGCCCTAAAATCCTCTTAGAAATGAGTGGAGGCCTATGCCCAGCAGTGGGACGTATATAGGCTGTAACATTAACTTTTTATATCTGTCATGCATGACTATCATATCAAATCCTTCCTACTAAGGGAAATGCATTTGTATTTTAATGAAAAGGGGTGGCCTTATGAAAAAAGAAGAAATAACAAATTATTTGAAAAAGAAAAGCTTATATGTAAATACACTTACCTTGTCTGTCAATTTAGTGTCCTCTAGTCTCTTGCTAAGCAATTCAGTTTTGGACAAACGAGAATCTTCTACAACAGCGGACTTTGTAATGGTTGACACTGGCTGTAGTTTTCGTTCCATAGTCTTCTCTTCAAACATCTCCTGACATTTTTTGCCAAATGGATCATGAAAGACATCCAGCACCTAAATAAAGAATTGTAAGCCACATTTTTACATTTACATTAAATTTAAAGTTAAATCCTTCTAAATTAATTTTAAAATGCATCACGGTGTATTCAAGTCATTATGCTTAGTGTGAAGCCACTGGCAAACAAATAAACAACTGTTAAGTCTGAAAATGACGAATCAAGAATACTACAAAAATTGTGTGTTTACTCTGCATTTGGAAATAAATAGCTCGGCGCATCGAGTGAGAGGTTGCATCACACCATCAGACCGTAATATCGATGGTGGCGACGTAGAATTGAGAGTAGATCAGGAAACACCCACTCATTTGTGCAATATAAAGTTCATTCTATGAGTGTAGTAATTATTCTAGTGCAGGCAAGTAAGATGGTGATGCTGAGAGGCTGCCCTGTGCTACAATGAGACAGGTAGTGTTGTTGTTGTTTTTTATGTAAGCTCCGTGTAATTGTGACGGGGACATATTATGGAATGGTCGAAGTGTAATTGCTCTATACTAAATGTATAGTGCAGCATACTGTGCAAGTTAATTGTACAGAAAATCTTAATGTTACAGAAACAAAGATGTAAATGCATGAACCTTAACAGTGGTAGAGTCACACGGCAGCTTTGCTGTTGCACGTATGGGCCGGTTCAAACTGGGGTGGTACCACGACCTCCCAGAATACCGGCATAAAGTGGAAGTTCTGCTTCCGCGTTTTGTTTGGTGAGTGTTGGTTGGCCGCAATTTCCCCCCCCCCCTTAACATGGTAGTGGAATTAAGTGAAGATCTACCCCATGAGGACCAGCACCCCTGGAGAATCCCTCGCTGAGCATCCACGACTTTTTTTTGGGCCTTCGATCGGGTTTAGCACAAAGCACTTCTTTCGAAGCTCCCTTCTTACGGGCCCTTAGAAAGGCCCTTCCCGAGAAATTGTGCAATAGGATCATCAGCTTTCTTGCAAATCGCAGCATCAAGGTCGTTGTAGATGGTGCAAGCTCCGATTACAAGCCTGTTAATGCTGGTGTTACACAAGGCTGCATGCTATCACCAACACTGTTTCTTCTGCATATATGTTGCAAACCCGTAACACTCATTGCTGTGCAGATGACTGCACGGTGATGCTCTGTACACCGGCCGTGTCAATATTTCTCGGGAAAACGTCTCCGAGTACCGGGACAAACTTGTGTCTAAAGTCGAGTCTTTCCTGAACAAAGTCTTGGATTGGGGGCGACTAAATCTAGTCCAGTTTAACCCTCAGAAGACACAAGTTTGCGCGTTAACCGCTAAAAAGAACCCGAGTGACGTGCAGTTTCGTGGTCACTTGGAAGAGAAGGCCAAATTGGCCTCTAAAAAGGTTGGCGTGCTCAGCAGAGCGGGATAGTATTTCATGCCGGCACACCGTCGGTAACTTTACAAGGCCCAGGTTCGGCCGCACATGGAATACTGTTCCCATCTCTGGGCTGGGGCTCCCCAGTGCCAACTCATTCCACTTGACCGCATCCAGCGCAGAGCAGCTCGAATCGTTGACGACCGAGTGCTTTCCGATTGGCTCCATTCACTGACGCTGCAAAGAGATGTTGCATCTCTTTGCGTATTTTATCGCATCTATCACGGGGAGTGCTCTGAGGAATTGATCGGATAAATCCCAACCGCCAAAATTATTTATGGTCATCAAAAAACAGTCAGAGATACCACAAAGGGTTAAATGTGCAGACAACAACCCGCAAGTCATAGAAACTGGGGCAGAAGAATAACTGGATTCCAAGTCCCTTACAAAACGACCTGCACAACAGAGCCGAAGCTACCAAGTGGAGATCGAGCTCAGTGCTAGGGAAAGAGGACGGTATTTTACCGTCCAATTCAAACTCGGAGGCTGACAACGAGACTCTGATGCGATCAATGATAGCGTGCCCTTCGTCCGAAACTAGCCTCATGCAGGCCAACCTCCATTACATCGAAACTGCGTCGGCTCAGTTACGCAAGTGGTGGGAGGGTGGACGGACGGCCATAGCCCTTATCCAGGAGCCGTGTTTTAGGGCTGGTAAAATCAAAGGCCTAAACAATCTAAAAGGCAAGCTATTCTACATGTCTGAGCACGACAAGCTTAGAGCGTGTATTTACACAACTAAAGATATCTGTGCACAACCACTAACAGATTTCTGTTCCAGAGACATGTATGCTGTAGCAATACAAAATACACATTAGGGAAGAATAGTCGTCCCTCAGTCTTAATTCTTAATTATGCCGGAGGAAGACTCGCTTCCCGCTTATAGGCTAGGAAATTTCTGCGAAAGGACTGGACTAGAGGTTGTGATCGAGGCATACTCCAAGGTGCATCATTCCTTTTGGAGAATGGAAAATACCAACGCTTGTTTGTTGGGATGTTCCATTCCCAGTAAGGTGTTAGTTCAATATATTTTTAACATTAACCCAACCATTTTAAACACAGGTTTCCGAACCAAACTTCATAAAAATAAAATACCTTAACCCTAGAAAGATAAACTACGTCTTTGCGACGTAAACGAAACACAAAAATCGCCGTCTTTTTTATTTCGCATCGTAGCACTCTTTCTCTCTCAGTTAATTAATATGTGGAACATAGCTTACGTGTGATGGCTGTGTCTACACTGTAAGTACAATAATTACGAAGATACATATATGGCATACGTCCAACAGACTTTTGATTATCCTTTGTGTAACTTTTCGGACTTCTTACCATGATGTTTATTTACTATTTATCAATGATATTAGGTATTCAGGTAATTTTAGTATACTTTATAGCAAGAATATATTATATACTTCACAGATGAATGATAAGCTCGTAGAAACTGTCAATGTGGTTGGAGCTATGCACTGCAAGATCCGCCGCAGAAGAATACAAAAGCTCTCCGGTCACACTATTAATCTCATGTCTGTTACAAGGGAGATGAGGCTGCAGCCATCAGTAGATTTGACAGCATACAGGGAACTGAACAGACATATCTCCAGATGCATGAGGCAGGACTTACACAACTTCAATACAGGTTGTATTGAAGAAGCGATAGAGCGGAACCAGGGCTCCAAAGTCTTTGCGAGAAAGAGCCAACTGTCGAAGCTGAAGACCGAATGTGGCAGCATCGTTTCCAGAACACCTAAGATTTTGAGTGAGATTGAGAGGTTCTATGGGCAACTGTACACATTATCGTTGGAGCCACATGCAAGTGTGAGTAACGATCCGAGAACAAGTCTTATTTGACACTATTCCGATGATATTCCGGATGTCAGTCTAAGCGAGATTAGAATGACTCCCAGCACCACAAAAACAACAACTCCCGAGGCGAGTTATGGAATTACAACGGAACTTTCAAAAGCGGGTGGAAAACCGATACTTGAAGTCCTTAGAAGCTCTTTAATTCTGTCCTTGTCTCATTAGAATAAGGCAATATTAGAAAGACTAATCAAAGAACTATTGAAGACTCTATATGGGACCTATAAAAACATTACTTGTAACTTCTGGGACATGTCTGTTCCTTTGGCTTTCGAGGATCTTTGGATTACAAGCCTATTAATGCTGGTGTTCGACTCAGAAGACACAAGTTTGCGTGTTAACCGCTAAAACGAACCCCTTTGGCGTATCTCCTCAGTTTCAAGGCACTCCCCTTGTTGCCTCAGCCAGTATTGGAATCCTCGTGTCGAACCTTCGTGGTCACTTGGAAGAGAAGGCCAAATTGGCATCTAAAAAGCTTGCGTGCTTAGCAGAGCGGGACAGTATTTTGCATCTAAAATTGGCACAAAAGCACACTGCCTGCAACTTTACAAGGCGCAGGTTCGCCACACATGGAATACTGTTCCCGTCTCTGGGCTGGGGTTCCCCAGTGCCAGGTCCTTCCACTTGACCGCATCGAGCGCAGAGCGGCTCGAATCGTCAATGACCGAGTGCTTTCCGATTGGCTTGATTCCCTGGCACTGGGAAGAGATGTTGCATTTTTTTTCGTATTTTATCGGATTTATCACGGGAGTGCTCTGAGGAATTGTTCTAATTAACCCCAGCCGCCAAATTTTATGAACGCACTATGTGGCAAACCTCCCGAAACTATCCACAACATCTGGATGCTTGGCGGTCCAACAATGTATGTTTCACTGGTAGTTTTCTTCTGCATACAACCTTTCTGTGGAACAGTTTACCACCAGCGATTTTTCCGGACCAATTCGACCTGGGGACCTTCAAGAAAAAAGCTTACTCCTTTCTAAAGGGCCAGCAATGCACTGCAATTCCTCTGGTGTTGCGGATGTTCATGGGCAGCGGTAGTCACTTAACATCAGGTGAACCGTATGCTTGTTTGCTGCTCTTTTATATAAAAAAATGTTTTTAGGGCAGGCTCCCCCAGACCCCTGGGAAGGGTGATCGCTACCAAGCTATTTCTAATTGGTTTTGTGTTGTTAATTGTAACACGCATGATTGTAAGCTCTTTATTTTTAAATAGTCCTGCTGGGTTTCTTGCCGGTTCTTCCCAGGACATAGGTTATTTTTGCGAACCAGTGGTAAATGAAAAAAGTGTCTTGTGTATGTATTATATATATATATATATATATATATATATATATATATATATATATATTGTGTGTATGTGTATATATATATTTTGAATTGTGTATACATATACAGGTAAGTAAAAGTAAAATTGTGAAATAACTATAAATAGTGTTTGTGGTTATTTTTGATTACTTACACAGAATGCTAGTATAAAAATAAATTAAACATACCTGACCCATGACTGACTTCCCATTATATTTTTCTATGCATATCTTAGAGTACTTTACATCTTGAAATACTATTCTTGCAAATCCCAAATGCCTATGAGTAACTGGATGGTAAAATATTGTCAACTCTTCATGTGGCCCAACTTTGTTCATCATTTCTGCCAAAAACGCTTTATCTATGTTGTCATTTAAATTTCCAACTGTTATTTCTATTTGTGGAGGAATTCCTACATAGTTTTTGTCTATCCTAAATCTGCAAAATATATTTAATTTAAATTTCCCGCTTAAGTCTAAATGTCATCCTAAGGCTTATGTTGGCAGCATTGTGTGTTAACATATAATAAAAACAAAGGTGATTATAACCAAAATTTCATACATTATTACAAATAATATGGTTTAGATGATGGCTTTTAGAATAAACTACAATATTCACGCATACAGTAATAGAAAAAATCTTAAAATTATATCAAAGCAAGATAGAAAATGTAACTATGAGTTTTGTCAATATTCTACAAATATTTCAACAATAAACATTAAAGATTATCACTTTTTTCCGTTACTTTGCTAATGTATGTCTATATTTATTCTTTACATATATTATTCAGACATGTTTACAGGTATTGGTACAAGCTACACAATATTGAAACAATATAACAATGTTATAAAAGTACCTAGGAACTGGCAAATCTGCTGGTTCTAACTTATTCCATATCCTTGATAGTTGCGACCTAGGATCTCTGCACTGAACTGGAGGATAAGATGCATCTCCAGGCACACAACCATCATATCTGTACAATTTTGTAGCCCCCTTTACAAGACATGGATCCATAAGAAGTTTATAATTTTTCGGTGCCTTGTGAAGCACTGCATTATGACCTGGAGTTCTATGCTCCATTCCCCCATTCATTCTGAAACAGTTTAGTAGCAAATAGTTTTGTTATACATAACCTCACACAATCATAAAATTTAAAAGTAATAATACAATGTTTTATAACATTTTGATCAGCACATAAAACCATTCAACGTACTGATTTATAAATAGTAATACAAACCTGAAAAATTGATAAAACAATATGTTAGAAAAAAGTAATTTCTTTGCTTTTTAACGAATAATAATAATTTGAAGCAATATCATCTTCTACGATTATAAATCAAACTTTCTGGTTACAATGCACATGATAAAATAAAATTTTACGCGATTTTATTGAATTTACAATATAAATTTCTACAGCAAGCACTCTCCATGGTGACGATCACTCGAATTATAGAGCTGCCACTAAACATATCAAAAAAATATAAAATACTGACTTCCATAAATAAATGTTTAATAAACACAGTTAGTTACATATATTACAAGATATCTGAACCTATTTTTATTACAATTTAGTGTGTAAGGAATTAAAAACAATAAATGACGAGATATCCAATTGACTACAAGATAGAATTTACAATAAAGTACGGCTTTTATTTTAACACAGTTATTTCCATCAGTTAGGCAATTATTTTAGTACTTGATGAACATGTTAACCTATTATATTGGCTAACCTGATTACTGTCATTACGAAAAACAGCATAGACAAACACTTTATACTTTATACGGCTAAAATGTGTTGTAGGACCTGACAACTTTGCCTATATTTTATGGTATAATCTATGCTTTATACGTGCGCAAAACGCATTCACTATAAAAAATAAACCAATTTTACTGAAATTGACACAAACTTGCAGGAAGAAGATAGAGATTTATTCATTATTATTAAAAAAATATAGTCGATTTTTTCTAGGTATTCACATTCACCACTTTAAAACCAGGAGCTAAAAAATGTTATGTATCCAAAAAACAGAGCAAACGTCTCTTTCCTACAGATTTACCAGACTTGCCCACGTAGAAAAATATTTAGGTGGTTAAGAAATAAGTACAACAACTATTATACGCAAGAGTAATTCGGGAAATACCTCTCCCTTGCTAGCCCATAAAGATAATGTAGAAAAAGGACGATTTGGCTATGATGTGTGTTGATTTCAGGTTGCTGAATTTCAACACTCGATCTGAACACTAACCTCTCCCTCGTATAAAGGAACAAATATAGCTCGCGGAGGCTAATTATTTACCTTCTTTGGATATGGCATGTGCTTTTCATTTTACTCTGACTCGTTCACTATGATTCCATAAAGTAAACTGCTTTCATAACACCCGTAGAGTCGTACGAATGTTTAGTAACACTTTTCAGACTTCGGAATGCTTCTTCAGTTTATATTAGGAGATATTTAAAGAAATATATAAAGAAATTATTCGGAAAGATAGAGTCAAACGAAGAGAAAATTTTGGCAGTAGACGAAAATTGCGAAACTGAGTATGGATAAAAGGAATTATTTTATTTATATGTTATTTAATTCGTTCTATTTGTCTAAGTATATGAGATTTAAAATATACCCTTATATTTTGGTACAAATTTTTCGATTTGTCACAATTCTAAGTCCAAGTCAGATGAAGATCATTTATTTCATGCCAACCTTTTTTATTATTTAGAGAATCTTTTCATGTATTAAGCATAACTTAACATACTTCGCCATGGAGTGAAAAGGGGAGATATTCTGTCGGGTATGGTGTTCAACCTGTTCAGTTCAAAATTAAATCCTAACCCAAGCATACAACAATTAATAATTTTAATGTGGAGGTAGCCGTAATTAACTATAATATTGGGACGTCGATTACACCTCGTACCATGAAGATTAGAGAACAGGAGAACGATCGCCGTAGAAAATAGTGTCCCAGAAATATGGACACCATAAGTGAGGCGCTGCGATCGCTAGGTTCGGTCAATAAAAGTCATTTTAGTCTATTTTTTCATCAGATGCTAAACCACTTGCACATCCACGCACAATAAAATATTTCTCCATTTTTAATGTTTCTTTTTGTCAAAAATTACAAAATTACGGAGCATGAAAATTTTCTCACCAATGCCGCGAAGAAAATTTGTACATTATTCAACTAACTTCATCTACTTGTACTCATAAACAGCTAACTTCACAATCACTACTCACCGACGTCAGCGCCGCTGTAAATTCTACAATTTTCAAGAACAGGTGGGCTATGCTTTAGAACGTAGTGATCGTTCTCCTGTTCTCTAACCTTCATGCCTCGTACCATCCCCGCCTCCGGCCCTCCTGCGATCATGTTATGTCTTGTCATGAGGATGTCATGAGGATAGTGTCATCGCTTCATCAGGCTCTGCATCAGTAGAAGCGGTTTTGCTACTACAACCACCGCCACTTGTTGCAGAACCTGATGTTACCGTAGTCGCCTCTGTTAAAATTTCAGATGGTCCACTCACGGTTACTGATATTACGGATTTAGAATCTTGAGATTCGGTCGCATCGATAGTCTCCGTGGAATCTTCATTGTTTTGCAAGAAGTGCTTTAAAGATCCAGCCATTTTTTACCTTTCTTGTAGTCTCAGTTTCTTTTGCTCGCGAAATTTCGCACATGAAAGTCTCTTTCTTTTATACTGAAAAAACAAATAAATAATTAGTACGTATGGGAATTAGGAATTAACTTCTAAAGTAATCACAATAATACCTAGGCTGCACTAAAAGTATCGGAAATGGAATATTTCCACTGTACCTGTCATATTAAAATCTTTTAATTGAAAACTCCTTGGTTTTAAAAATCAATACCATTTATTTATTCAAAAAAAGATTCTCGATCTTGTCACAACGTTTTGTTAAACTTGTTTAGTCGTTGAGAAAATGAAATTGACTCGAGAAAATTCAAGAGCGATGATTTACTATGAATTTCGAAGTGGTTTAACACAAAAACAGTGTGTTGACCGGATGATTTCTGCATTTGGTGATGAAGCCCCATCCAAAACCACAATTTATCGCTGGTTTGCTGAATTTCAACGTGGACGTGTCAAGCTCGGTGATGATCTCCGTCAAGGTCGTCCAAAAACTGCAGTCACCCAAGAAAACGTTGATGCTGTGCGTAAGCTGATTGAGGAAGATCGACATGTGACATACCGCGAAATTCAGGCAAATTTAGACATTGGAATGAGTCAAAAACAAATAATCTTGCATGAACAATTAGGTGTAAAGAAGTTGTTTTCCCGATGGATACCGCATTCGCTCTGTGACGAGCGAAAGCGGCTCGCGTTACTTGGTGCGTCAGAACTCTCGAAAGATTCCACGCAGGATCCTCAAATGCTGTATACAACATCGTATCAGGTGACGAATCCTGGATATACTCGTACGAACCCGAAACAAAAAACCAGTCACGAGTTTGAGTGTTCGAAAATGAGTTAAAGCCAACAAAAATTGGTCGTTCACGGAGTGTTGCAAAAGAAATGGTTGCCACGTTTGTCTCCAAAACTGGCCATGTTACGACTATTCCTCTTGAGGGACAAGGAACGGTTAATGCAAAATGGTATGCTAGCATTTGTTTGCCATAGGTCGTTTCTGAACTCCGTAAAGAGAACTGCAACCGCCGCATCATCCTTCATTACGACAATGCGAGTTCTCACACCGCACACAAAACAAAAGAGTTTTTAGAGCAAGAAAACATAGAATTATTAGACCATCCGCAGTACAGCCGCGACCTAAGCCTTAATGATTTCTATACTTTCCCTAAAATAAAGAATAAATTGAGTGGACAGAGATTTTCATCACCTGAAGTAGCTGTCTACATTTCTGTCTAGAAGGGGTCTACAAAACGGCTATTTTGGAGACCCCAACTTCCAAATGGAATGGTCGCTTCAATGATTGGTTGCATCGTATGGAAAAATGTGTCAAATTTCGCGGAGAATACTTCGAAAAGCAATAAAAACATTTTTAAATAGTAATGTTGTGTCACTTCCTTGATTCCCGAAATTTTCAGTGCCGCCCTCGTAAGCACCAAGTTTGCATAGTGCATATTTAAGTAAAAAGCAATTTGTTCGAGAGCCTTTTAGCTTGAACCCTTTCAAAAATACAGGCAGAAAAAGTATTAAACTAATTTAATCTTATAAATGGTTTTTTTTTAAAAGATCGATAGCATAAAAACTAAACGAGTTATGGATAAAAAACCAATTACTATTTTAAACTCGTACGGGGTCTTTGACTATATTTACGTGCTTCCTAGAGTCTTTATTATGTCAGATAGAAAAATAAATATAGAACACCATTAAAAAAAGATAAATAGGTAAAAGTAATTGTTCCAAATATGGAACACCGTGCGTTCTAGTTCTATAATTTAGACGTTCCATATTTGGTACAACATGCGGTGTGATCTAATTATCTATAATTGAAATAGAATTTTATAAAAATAAAAGAAACAACGTGAAGCTATGAATAAGTATTTAATTAAAAAAAATTATGTGTGAAAGTTTTTAAAACACTTGCGATCTTTGTTAAAACAAAGATAACACCAACACTTTTCGCACATCACTTGGGATTTCTGCGTGCATCCTACCATTTTACATCTATGGCGATCAGTTTTCCAATTCGGCCAGTGGTTGAACCCGTCTCCAGCTACTTCCATTGGAGGAAGTTCTATGCGTCGCCTTGATTGCCCCTTTTTAATTGCCTCAACATCTTGATTCAGTGGTCGTCCTCGTTTGCGTGTAGTCGGAGTATATACCTTTGAGTCTTTGTTCATCAATACATCTGCTATGGTTAATTTAAAGTCAAGCAATGGAATGTAAATATCTTCAGCCTTTTGTTTCATGACTCTCCGCCATAATAACTATTCACGCAACAGAGATCAATGAAATGGAAGAACAGGTGGTGGTACCATTTTTACTGCGGATTTTGATCCTATAGAAGCCTAATATGGCATCTAGTAAATCGACACCGCCCATGTATTTGTTATAAATTGATACTGCTTTTGGGCAAGGAACATCAACTCTACGCTTATGTTTTTTGGAATATCTTTTCACAACTCCCATTGGTTCCTTGCCTACGTAGGATGAACACAAACTGATTGCTTTATTGTCGACCCAACTGGTAACTGATAGCTTAACTTTATCAACACAAACACTTTTTTCGGAGCAATAACCTCGTTCTTTCTTTTCTAAAGCTTTTTTAATTATATTTATATTTGGAGCTCTTCTCAGTTGTACTGTGCCTAATGGCAGAATACCTCTTTTGTGCAAGTTTGCCATTAGCTGCAAACTTGTGTACCAGTTATCGACAAAAATCTTGTGGTTCAAATTGTCTGAGATAGTCTCCAATAGTCTTTGAACCACATTTCCTGGCACTCCAAGATCGGGACAGTTTTCAGGCGGTTCTGGGTATTTTAATATTGGGTAAGTTAGATCAAAGTGGGCGTATTTTCTGAAGCCTATCAAACTGCGGGTCATATGGTTTTAGTTATTTTGTTTTGTCGAAAAATGCAGAAATCTTTTAATCTCTTCGAATTTATTGCACGTCATAACATTTGCAACTTTTTCAACATATGTGCCCTCCTTCCAGTAATGACGAGTAGTTGGCAGGTGTACTACCGACATGTAGATAATAATACCAATAAATTTATAAATGTCTTTATGTGTCACTGAATGCAAGTTTTCGGGGAAAATTTGTGCTGCGTATACGTTGCTTTCTTCCTCAATTAAATTTACAGCAGATGACGGAAAAAGAAATTTGAAAAACTCTATTGGAGTATTTAGCTGCATTATTTCATCTGGAAGAGTTTCAGATCCCAAAAAAGCAATATTGGATTCATCATACTGAAGATTGTCATCCGACCACACCAACTTATCTTTCTTTTTTGCTTACTTAAAGAAGCTGCCTGTGAGGTAGAAGGTTGATTGTCTGTAAAATTTTCTAACGTCTTCATATACTCTTCAGTGCACTCAGGAAATATCTGGTCCAGTTCCTCTTCTCTCTTCATCTTCCTTTATTTGTCCGAGGAAGACCTTTCTTTTTCTTTATTTATATGTAAAGGATCTTGAGTACTGTAAGTCTCATCATCTGATACATTTTCATTCTCGCTGCTCTCCGGAATTACGACGATTGTTCGTCGAGGACGCATCTCTATTTTATCTACAATTAAAATAATTAAGCAAATTTAAAGATAATCACGTATAAACATAACTATATATAATATATATTCAGGGCGGGACATCAGATAACTGCGCTACTTTTACTTGTCCTACTTAAAATTTACATTAGCTGTAGGGTATAGTATTAAACTGCAAGTATAAAAAGATCTTATGCAGCATAATGTTCCGAATTCTGAACTTGTAAGTTATTGGCGGTTTCATATTCAATACCAAAATTTGTTAAAAAATTGACCTAAAAGTATAGGAGTATCTTGGTCTAACACTGCATAATGTTCCAGATTTGGAATTGTTAAAATATTGACTGGAGTGCATAATGTTCCATATTTGGCAACAAAAAATAATTGCATGGTGTTCCAAATTGGGAACAATTTTAAATGATAATATTCAATACATATTATGATTTAAACTTACTTCTTCAGTAAAAAGCCTGTGGGTCCATTGTTCTATCCGTTAAATCACTATTATTCCTCAGATATTAAGAAAAAACCAATGAAAAATCGTATTGAAAATCTGCTAATTGTCTACCTGTCAAATTTTGGCAACCGACTGACGAAACAGTCGATTTTAGTTCCCAGGCGTCTCTAAAGAGGCGCCACTGTTACATATTTAGGTGAGTTACACTCTCTAGTACGAATTAGTTCCGAGAAAATATTATAGAAGCCGCAGGCAGTAATATATTACAACAAAAGTTGAGTGTTCCATATTTGTCACGGTATGCGGTAAAGGGTGGTAAATGACCTTTCGTATCACTGCTAGTTTGGCTGTACTATAAATTTTATAATAAAGTATACAAAAAGTAGTATTTTTTTCTATTATTGGTTTAATATTAATAATAATAATAAATAAAAATAGTTTATTCAGTAAATGATCATTGATCACATATAAATTATAACCGGGAATGAGGTCTCCTTTTAAGTATAAAATCTTGTGTTAGGAGACTCCACTCTTCCATAGCACTTACATTACTATTTGCATGATCTTTACATAATAATTAAATATAAAATTAAAATAAAAAAATAATAATATTCACGCCAAAGGTATATATACCTTGTGCGCGTTTAAGCGTGTGCGCTCGCGCGCGCGCGTGTGTGTGTGTGTGTGTGTGTGTGTGTGTGTGTGTGTGTGTGTGTTTATAAATAAATTAAATTATTTCAAATTGCTTAAAAAGTCTCAGTATCATCATAGCTCTTATGAAATAGCCATTCGGTTAGAATATATTTGCAATTATGGTAGTTAAGATGATGAATTATGCTTTTATTAATGGCGTTGTACCACTCAAGTGGCCATGGGTAGTCTATTACCCAAATCGAAAATGGCCTGAAACGGCCATGGGTAATTCAGTACCCAAACGATCTTGCGTTTTAAAAGTTCTTCCTGGCTATGAAATACAGTTTAAATTAGCGTATCTTGATTTTTAAATAATTCTTTATTAAATTCTCAACCAAACAAACAAACAACCAAACAAAAACACTCGTATCCATCCGCCAAATATAAAAAAGCGATTGACATTAATTTGTCATCTTTAGATTTTCGTTCTCTAACCTCCTTGAAATTGTCACAAAATGACATACGTGATTTTATTGTTGATAACTTTTTGAGTATATATACAGTAATCTATGTTTTTGATGTTAATGTATAAAGAAGTGTAGTAAAAAACACTGTTAGAAAGCTTATTAAATACAGTATTTAATGAATGATATTATTGTTTTTTATGTCATTTAAAATATATACATATTTAAATTCATAAAGAAACATGTGGTTTTTATTCCGGGACTAGTTGAACCTCTCTTTTTCCTTACATGATACAGTAATATTTCAATAGATCTTGCTAATTTTTACAAATCTTATAAAGTATTTCATACTCATAATGCCGATAACAATATTTAAGTCGTAAGTGCCTGTTTTGTTGAGAAATTAATTTTGAGCAAACAATTTTTCATACTCGACTCTTACAGAACTTTGAAAGTTCCGAAAACATTTTTTTCTCCAAGACTGTATGTTTTTCTATAAATATTGCTTAAAAATATATTCTCAGCGCATTAAAAATATAAAATATATCGGTCGTCGCTTTAAATTTCGAAATACACGTATTTTAATGAAGCAATGTGTCAAAATTCACTTGTTTTCTATTTTAGCGCTTATTATTTTTTACAAGAATCCATAAATCTTAACAGCACTTATACAGAAATAAAGATTCATGCATTCAGCTTAAAAAACCCACCATTCAAGGGTCATTCCCGCTGATGTAGTTATAAATAACGTTATTTTAAACAATACCCAGTGCGCCATATGTGTCGATTGACCAGTAGCGATGGGTGTTGAATCAACGAACTATTTGAATCAACCGTTGATCTCCTGTCAACGTATTAACGTTTTTTTTTATAGAAGAGGGGGCAAACGAGCATGCGGCTCACCTAATGTTAAGCGACTACCGCCGCCCATGATCAACCGCAACACCAGGGGAATTGCAGGTGCGTTGCCGGCACTTTAGAAAGGAGTAAGCTCTTTTCTTGAAGGTCCCCAGGTCGTATCGGTCCGAAAAAATCGCCGGTGGTAAACTATTCCACAAAGAGGTGATACGCGGAAGAAAACTCCTTTTGAAACATACAGAGGTGGACCGCCAAGCATCCAGATGGTGTGGATGGTATCGGGACGTTTGCCGCGTAGTGCGTTCACGAAATTTGGCGGCTGGGATTAATCCGAACAATTCCTCAGAGCACTCTCCATGGTATATGCGAAAGAAAATGCAAAGAGATGCAACATCTCTTCGCAGCGCCAGTGAATCGAGCCGATCGGAAAGCACTCGGTCGTCGACGATTCGAGCCGCTCTGCACTGGATGCGGTCAAGTGGAAGGAACTGGTACTGGGGAGCCCCAGCCCAGAGATGGGAACAGTATTTCATGTGCGGCCGAACCTGCGCCTTTAAAGTTGCAGGTGGTGTGCCGGCATGAAATATTGTCCCGCTCTGCCGAGCACGCCAAGCATTTTGGAGGCCAATTTGGCCTTCTCTTCCAAGTGACCACGAAACTGCACGTCACTCGATATGTCGACGCCGAGGATTCCGATACTGGCTGAGGCAACAAGGGGAGTGCCTTGAAACTGAGGGGATACGACAAAGGGGTTCTTTTTAGCGGTTAACGCGCAAACTTGTGTCTTCTGGGGGTTAAACTGGACTAGATTTAGTCGCCCCCAATCCGAGACTCTGCCCAGCAGAGACTCGACTTCAGACACAACAAAAAATAAAAGGGTTGATTCCAACTATTATACTTTATTTCACTTTCTACAATACTATTCAGAGTCCAGGTAGAAAACAAAACGGTAGATTCAAACTATTACACTGTGGTTCACTTTACAATTTAGACTTATACACAATTCAGCTTCACTTCACGTCTTACTGCGACGACTCGAGTTGAGCTAATGCCACTCTCCATTTACTAATCAATTATCAACCTTTCGCACTCGTTAGGGTCAGCGCACACCAAGAGCAGAGCATTTTCGGAGAACACTAAAATATTAATTTTATGACTATTGACAGAAAGTGCAAAATTTTATACGGTGAAACCTTACATATTTGCCTACATATTTCGGTTTTTATTACTTTTTTCAAAAAATATCCACTTTATTTTGATGGTTGCTAAATCTTTAAACGACACTATATGCTACAAATAAACTGTCAAAACCAGGTGCAGTGATTCCTAACAGATGCTGAGAAAAAAACAAAAACAGACGCGGGGAAAGTTATCTCCATTTTCTTACATCTTTGCTCAACCTACATTTCTCAGCAAGTGTAAGCTCTATGATTTTGATTTTAAGATATATTGTTAGCAAACCGACAATATTTAATACCAATACATTCTCAAATAAATAGAAGTCCATTTTAAATTTTAAGTTTTAAGTAATGGCGGTGGGCAATGTTATCGCCACATTTAGTCACACTTTCATACTAAGAGATTTGAGGTGCTAGGGCTGTGCCTCAGATGAAAGGAAAATAATAAATTGATTTTGAGGCATTGTATTTTTTATTTTTAAAATTAAAAACAACAACTAACTAAACAACAACAAAAATCAAGAAAATCAATGTTTATAGGTAGTTGGTAGGTAGCGTACCTATTAAATATTAATAAAAAATAAAAAAGGTCTCTGCTAACGTAAGCGTGCCTGTGAGTTACCTGCGTGAGCATTAGTTTTAAAAAAAGTAAGCAGCGCAGAAATTTTTTATCACACGCACCCAAGGCAGATTATCGCTCCTCATACAAAAAAAATAACAAGATATCTCTTCTAGAACAAAAAATACCAAA